ATTTAATAATTATAATTATTAATATTAATAATAATAATAATAATAGGAGATAGCATCATTCACATGACTAAGATGAAATATATTATTAAACAAGAATCTGAGCACTATTGGAACTTTGATGAAAAGAGCTTGCCATCTTAATGGAGAAAATATATTAAAAAAAGAAAAGAAATGAAAGCCTTATTAAGATGAAACTCCGTACCTCTTATTGCTCCCCCGTTGATTCCCCTTAATGAATGAAAAAAAATGAATCAACCATTTTTATGTCATGCTAGAAGAGACCCATTTTCAGGCCAGACCAGGCAAAATTCCCAATTTTATCATTTTAAAAGAACACGCCAATAAATAAGCCTTTTATCTCATTTTCCACTCTTTTTCTATCTGAATTTGCTTTCCTTCTGGCCCATTTAGTCCCCAATAAAAGGCAAAAATGTAATATTTCCACTTCAATGATGGCCATTAAATTATCTAAGCTGCAAAGGACTTATAGTTTTTTTTTTTTCCATGAAGTCAACGGCCACAAAACAAATTATATATATAAATTATTTCTAGGTTAAAGCTGTAAAAATTTGCTCCAATCCGTTGTAACTTTTCTGATACACAAATAAATCTAGTGAAAACCTGAGAATATTATCAGATGGTTGTGCGGCTGTACTGGGAGGCCCAGTGCTGAATCTGACCTTTTCAGACTGTGCTAATTGCTCGCATATTTCCGGCATGGGAGTTGAAAATTTGCCATGATTTGACTCAGCAATGTGTAGGAGGCTTCTCGGGATTGGTGGTGGGGGAGGTCATAGGAAGCTTGCTCCCCGGGAGCTTCAGAGAACGTATTATTTTACATCATCTGCGGGTGAAAGATCAGAATTTTCCTGAACGTGCCTCTGTTTTCTGATCGCCATAATGAAAAGGAAAGCTTTTCCGAATTTTTTTGTTAACGTAAAGACCCCAACAGGCCGAATGTGTGTAAATGTGAAATTTCAATTCGCTCGGCTATACTGGAGTTGGGAAGATTCAACATCAACTCAAAGTCAACCTTTCCATTGCCCAGCGCTGTCCATATACCAGTAAAATTTTGACCAATGTGTGGTCCAAATGCCCCCCCCCCCCTTTCACTTTTTGTAGAAAGTTGGGAGGGCAATGTGACCACATACTGGTCTCTCAACTGTTGTTGAAGCCAGTTTGGAAAATGTCAGCCCAACAATTAGCTGAAGTCACTGTCCAGGTATTCTGACAGCGGCGGGTATGCTAATACAATAGACCCGTCCATGCTAACTCTTCCTTGAAGAGTATATTTTCACTCATCCCCATCCCCATCCCTTATGGCCAACTTAAGAATGTAATCATATATGCAAATGTTGATATGCAAAACTTTTTACCAAAAGTCAATGGCTAAGCCGTCCTCCCCCTTTCAAACCCCATCCCAGTGGCCATTGGCTTAAGGTGGCCATACACTTTTGTCTTGCGAGGGTTGTAAAGTAATTTAAAAAACGTACGATCTGCCCATCTTGGACAGGCAGATCGTACTTGCGATCATCGCAAGCACGCCCCCCTGCGGGGCGGGCTTCCGATGACTGCAATGAGGGGCGGGCTTCTGATGATTGCAAACGGGCTGTGTGCACGTGCGCACACCGGCCCGTTCGGCAGTTGTCGAACAAGCAGGCCACTAACTCGCCGAGAATCGTACGATTCCCAGCGGGATTTCCAGCCTGCTTGTTCGACGGAAGACGTGCGACCGTTTCTATTGTACGGACGCCTTCCATACACTTTGCGATTCTCGTACGATCGCGGGATTTACCGCGATTCTCGTACGATAATCGTGCAGTGTATGGACACCTTTATTCAGAGAGCCGAGCCTGGTGGCTGCCACTGGAATGGAAGAGGTGTCAGCAATATGTGGCCTTTGATTGATAGCCCAACTTCCCCTTCTCAACGCTGCATGAGAATTAAAATGGTTGCATCCTGTGAGTCACATGACTAAAATAAAGATACCTACCCCTGTTTTAAAGCAGGATTGGGCAACTCCGGCCTTCCAGCTGTGCTTTTACTACAAATACCAACATGCTTCTGGGAGTCATGTCTCTAAGGCTGGGTTCACACCTGGGCGTACGGAATATGCACGTTTGCCGCGTGTTTTTACAGTGATTTGCGGTAAAAGTAACGCGCGACAAGCGTGCGTTTACGAGGGCTATCCGGCTGTATTCTAATGGATAAGCGCGAAAAATACGCCCCAAAGAAGCTCCTGTACTTCTTTGGGCGTAGGGCGTTTTTCAGCTCGTTCCTATGCGCTGAAATACGCCCAGGTGGGAACCATGCCCATAGGCAATCATTGGTTTTCACATGTTGAGCGTTTTACATCGCGTAGGAACGCGCTGTAAAATGCCCAGGTGTGAACCAGGCCTAACTGTCGGCCTTGCACTGACTCATGGGACTTGTAGCTCCACAACAGCTGGAGGGCCGGAGTTGCCCACCCCATGGTCTATGGTCACAGTGTACCAGTCCATCTCTCTCCACCCCATAACGGAGGGAGGCTGATTTGTATAATAAAGCAGTACAGCTTTATCAGGTGATCATTGACTAATGCCAGTGATCATCAGCTAGGAGCCGGTGTGTTTGGCTGTGAGATTTTTCGGGTCTTTCTTTCTCTTTCCGGTGAGTCATGCTTTTCTTCTATGGGGATTTATAATGTTGTCACCAGTAATCCTGACAATTAATGTGCTGTGACACTTTATTCAGCATTATGCAAATGGATGGCTTAGTAAACAGATCCTGGAGACACCTGACCCCGAAATACAGCAAATCCATGATACAGAAGAACTCTTCCAGATATGAACTTAACCCCTCGGTGACCACCGATTTTGGATGATTACTCCTATGTACGGTATTCTTTTTTAAGAATTTCATAACACACATGTACAGACACACGAGTGCTGAATGTTGGCTGTCAGTCATTGAAAATGTTTTCAATAGAAAGAGAGAGAGAGAGAAGGAGGGGGAGAGAAGGGGAGAAAGGAGAGAGGGAAAGAAGGAGGGAGAGAGAGAAGGAGAGAGATAAGGAGGGGTAAAGGACAGAGAGAGAGAGAGAGAGAGAGATAAGGAGGGGAAAAGAAGGATAGAAAGGAGGGAGGGAGATAAGGAGAGAGATAAGGAGGGGGAGAGAGAGAGAGACATAAGGAGGGGAGATAAGGAGAGAGAGAGAGATACATAAGGAGGGGAGATAAGGAGAGAGAGAGAGATAATGAGGGGAAAAGAAGGAGAGAAAGGAGGGAGGGAGATAAGGAGAGGGAGAGAAGGAGAGAGATAAGGAGGAGTAAAGGAGAGAGAGAGAGATAGATAAGGAGGGGGAAAGGAGAGAGAGAGAGAGAGAGAGAGAGAGAGAGAGAGAGAGAGAGAGAGAAAGAAAGAAAGAAAGAAAGAAAGAGATAAGGAGGGGGGAGAGAGGGAGAGATAAGGAGGGGGAAAGGAGGGAGAGAGATAAGGAGGGGGAGAGAAGGGGAGAGAGAGAGATAAGGAGGGGAAAAGAAGGAGATAAAGGAGGGAGAGAGATAAGGAGAGGGAGAGAAGGAGAGAGATAAGGAGGGGGAAAGAAGGAGAAAAAGGAGGGAGAGAGATAAGGAGGGGGAAAGAAGGAGAAAAAGGAGGGAGAGAGATAAGAGAGAGAGAGAAAAGGAGGGGGAGAGAAGGAGGGAGAGATGAGAAGGGAGAGAGGGGGAGAGGCCAGTAAGAGGAGAGAGATGATGTTTTGTTCTATTTAAACAGTGGATTTGGGTTTGATTTGGAATAATACTAGAAGAAGGTTTGTTATCCCTGGTGGCTCTCATATTGCCTCGGGGGTGGACGTGGTAATTACACGGGAGGATTGGCTCGTGGGTGTACGGAATACTCTGTACCCCGGGTAGCATCCTCCAGGCAGGAGCTGCATTGTTATTAGAGTGGAGAAGACATGGCAGGAAGGACAAGACCTCCTATCTCTCTGCTTTTATCACTGACAGGAATTCTCAGCCATTTTATATAAATGGGAGCTCCAGCTGAGAGGCTTAAAGTGGACCTTTCAGTAACTGTACAAGGCTGAGTGCATTTTTCCTGACATGTCAAAATAAACAGCATCATTTTTCTTTACAAAGCTCCACCTTTTATCATTGATAAGCAACCATTGATCTCCAGTCATTGACTTTGCCAAGGCTGACATGATGTCATCAGTCTTTCTGGAGAGAAAAGCAGATGAAGGCATTGTCAGGGGGTTCCTGGGATCCATGTGAGAGGTAATAATACCTGGAAGTGTTACACGGATACATTAGGAAGCGTGCATATGGACCTTACATGAACAGATGCACAGATATATGGAGGTGATGAAACATTTATATAGTGATATGTGTGTGACCCCCCTCCTGCACAGGGTAAGGTAATTGTGCTACTACTGCTGAAAATGTACTGCTCCTGCCTGCCCCGTGGACCACCAGTACACATCACCGCACTGGTGACCCTCACCTTTAGATGTAGCCCCGCCCAAGTACTTCCCCCTCCCACCTATCAGCCCACAGAGTGGCCACTCCCACTGTAAGCCTCATTTCAGCCTTCTTTTTTCATCAGTAGGCACTCACATGTACTTGTTAGCCTTGCTGTCGATGGAGAAGGTGGCAGAGGCACTTTGGGTTCCGGCGGTCACGAAACATTCTGATAGGCTGACGCTGATTTTCTGCGGCTCCAGCTGCTGCGAGCAATAAAATGCGAGTTCTTCCCGCTTTACCTGGACCAGATATCTGCAGGACAAAGTGAGACAAACCGTTTATTGACCCGACCACACAGACAAATAGACACAAATTCTGCCCAAACCCAGGGCTGGATTTCCCACAAGGCCAACCAAGGGGCAGCAGGGAGTAGAGGGGCAGCAGGAGTGTGGAATTCCTATCTCCCAGGCGGGTAGTTGTCTTCTACATTTAGCCCTGCTTTGGGCTAAGTGTACGGCAGGGAAGCCGCTTCTTGTTTTGTACAAGTGACCTTGGCGACATTGTACACAGTTTGCAGGTCTGCCATTCTCCACGGGGGGGGGTTGGTGGGTAGGGGGGCGCATTGAGGAACCTGGCCTTGGGCCAGCAGAGAAAATTAATCCGTCCCTGCCCAGACCTTTACTTCCAACTCCTATACTGATGGACATAAGTCACCTGCAGCAATGGAATTGGCTCCCTTAACCAAAAGTGCAATAACATATGTTGTGGGTTCATTAATGCACCGCTGGCAATTTAGGGTCCGTTCACACTTGTGCGTTGCAGTAAAATGCATGCATTACTGTAACACATATGATGCATTGCAGCGCCATTCATTCTAATTGATACCCCAACACACTGTACTGTAGAGGGTAACACACTGCGCCGCACCATAATACCATACATTGCATTGTATGAAGGTTACAGTGTAGCCATCCCGTTCACAATGCAATGTAGGCTAAGGCGCAACCTAACATGGATTTCTGATTGTGCATTATGGTGGGCGGAAACGCAAGTGCATTGAGGGTGCATTAAGGACCTGTTACATAGTTCGTCAGGTTGGAAAAAGACAGAAGTCCATCAACGTCACGCTATAGCATTGCGCTAGAGGCACAGTACTGGCACATTCAGGGCACGCTATCGCACAGCACCACATGCTAGGTGCCATTTTTAATGGCACCCCAATGCACCTCTCAGTGGACTTGCGTTGTGCTGCAATGCGTGATACCGCAATAGTGTGTGTTATGCATGCATTATTTTTTTTTCACTGCACGGCAACACAACGCACATTAACAGTGCATTGGGGTGGCTTTCAGAATGAAAGGCAATGCAATGCATCTAGCATGTGGGGCAGTGCGCTGTTGGCTAGCATGCCCAGATACCGCGCCTCTAACGTATTGCTATAGTGTGAACCCGCCCTAAATTGCTGGCTTGGGTGGTATATAAAATGAATGGCGCTGTAATACACTGTGGTTCTTCTTCCTGACAGGTAGAGGCACAGCTGTAATAGAGGGAGTACAGATGCTGCCATTAGCCATCTCCTTCTCTGGCTGTCCTGTCTATCCCCTGGCTTCACACCTTTCTAAGTCACTGTCTCAGAACATGTACGCAGATTCTGGCCTTCCTGATATGAACATTTATTGCAGGCCAGTGTCTCTATGTACTCATCCAGAGGCAGCCAAGCAAACAGCATTTGCAGAGGGAGGATGGGGTCAGCAATGATGCATCTCAGCACAGGCTTCTTCCAAAAAGAGAGAAAAATATATATAAAAGAGAGAAAAAATAAATAAATATATTGCTCTTTAATATGTTTTCATTGCTCTGGTCTGTATATTGCTTCTGTAGCTCTAAACACCTGTCCATACACCTGTGACTGAGATTGAGGGGGTGGAGCCTGATAACTCAGCAGGTGATTGGCTGGCTGGCTGCACAGGTGAGTCCTGATTAGGAGGTGGAGGCTTCTGCGGATAGGCAGATAGGAATGTGTATAAGGTATGTAGTCCTTGTACAGACATTCGTGGAGCTCATAGTGAACATTGTAGCAGTTTTTATTTGTTAAACATTGTTAGTTGTTTGTTACGTTTCACGTAGCGGAATGTTGAAGATAAATATTTTGATATATTCAATCCAAACATCCCTCCTTGTGGTTCGCAGTGAGGATTTCTTGGTGTTGTTTATAGTTGGATCTCAATGTTACATATTAATACATGGTTATTTTCTAGCATCATTGCACCACATTTATCAAGCACAGGGAAACCTCCCCATTGCAAAGTGAGCAGTCTATGTATAATAATAACAACTCATACACAGGCTGCTTTTCCCATTGTCACTGGCTGAGTGACACACAAGATGGCTGCATGTGGTGAATGCAGTTAGACTGCAGCTGTATGTTAAAGCAGTTTTGGTACCTGTAGTGCAGGTATGTATAGCCAAATGTGTGTCATCCCTATTTTGTATTTCTTCAAGGGTTAGTTCTTTCTTAGCCAGGTAATGCTGGAGCACTTCTATCCTTTGCAGGATTCCCCTTGCTTTTTGTTTCAGTGACCTCACTGTGGGCCCATTTCCACTATTGTGTTGCATTGCCATACACTGAAACACATTGCTCTAGTGCATTGGGGGCACCTTCAAAATTAATTGCACCACAAAATGTCATGTGTGTCTAGTGATGTGTAGGGGGCTTGGAACAAACCCAGTTCACCCAAACCTGCACAAAACTGTGACCCACCCTCTCGCCACCCCCAATCAGTTACGGTGACTTGCAGGTAAGTGTTACGAAGGGGCCCCTGCTGGAACTGATTTGGCCTGGAAAGGCTAGTTGTATTAGGCACAATTGTGCATGGTGAGCTGGGCTCACAGCAAATACCCACCCCCATCACTAGTTGCTGTGATGCAAGTGACCTGTTTTGGGGTGCAATTAATGTTGAATGGCACCCCAATGCACTAAAGCAAGGGTAGGCAACCTTGGCACTTCTACTATGGTGGAACTACAAGTCCCATGAGGCATTGCAAGACTCTGACAGCCACAGGCATGACTTGCAGTGGCACGTTTGGATTTGCACTTTTAGCACAGCTGGCGGGACAACGTTGCCCATCCCTCCACTAGAGCAATGTGCGTGTGTTGCAGTCTGTAGCATTGCACATTACGTTTATATGTTATATATGTCTTCTATATATTTTACTTGATTTTTCTGGATATTTTAGGGCATTGGAAGCACATTATTTTTATACTTTATCTTCTATATGTCTTCTATGTATTTATATTTTGGGACATTTAATTTTTCTGGGTATTTTGGTGCACGGGAAGCCCATTATTTTTAATGATCTGAGTTAACACGCGTTCACACCCCAATAGCGTAAATGAGTGCCATGAGTTTGTTGCCCACAGCTTTTATTTGTGAATACATTTTTGCACTTTTTTTCCTGTCACATTTTATAAACTGCTAAGAAGTGAAAATGTTACATTCAGGCATAAAAACTAAAAAGAAAGTCTACCTTGGAGAGAAGTATTAAAGGGGTCACAAATTGAAACAAAGTGTCTGTGTGCTTGTTTCCTGACAGCGAGTCGTATTTCTCCATCAAGCTAATGTGAGTGGTATCATATAAAGTTAGGGAGTGCCAGACACCGCTGACCAGCTCCTGAATTTATATTTTGACAGTGATATTGAAGAAGAAAAAAAAAATAGTGCTTACATAGAAAAAATAAGGGCCGTATATCTTTAGGAAATACTTTAGTTTAGTGCATCTCTTGGTGGTGGGGGTGCTTTTAGCTTAAAGTGAGAGAACAGTGCCAGCTTTTTTTTTCTTCCTCCTTTTTCTCCTCTTCCTCCTCCCTCCTTTTTCTCCTCTTCCTCCTCCTCCTCCTTTTCCTCCTTTTCCTCCTTTTCTAGGCAATCATAATGCCCTGAATGCATCAGGAGTTAGCTGAAGCTCGATATCACTGATTTAAATTTAATTTCTGGTATCATCTCTGACTTGTGGGCTCTCATTGATGCCAGGTCATGCCTGGTCAAGCAGAATTGGTGCTAGGTTGATGTTCCTTTTAGAGCTGCGTCACACTATTGCTAATGTGCACCATGTGACATGAGCTATAGACGCATTTGCTGTTCATTTTGAATGGCACCCCCAATGCGTTTACTCTAGTGTAAAGAAAGATTTACTTAAAGCTCATTTAACATCCGTTTAAACTGCAATGGGTTCTAACATACGAAGGGGACTTGGGGCCGTGGTGTTCTGCATCAGGGAAACCCATTCAAGTGAATGGGATAGAAACGCACCAAAATTTCCAAAAGAAATGGAAATGCACTTTTCTGTGGAGGCACCATACACCACAATGCGTGTTAGTGTGCATTGTGGTCCAACACATGTGCATTAGAGCTGCTCTGCCTTAGTGGCTTGGGGTGCCATCCTAAGTGAGTGGCATTGCAGCACTCTAAAGCATGTATGTTAGTGCAATGCATCAAAAAAGTGCGTTTTAAAGCTGAATGTCCAGAACCAGCTACATGGCCAAAGGTGCTGAAGAGAACCCTGGACAGATGACTGGGGTAGCTGCAGTGGATCAGGGCATTGTCTCCCCCACAGCTCTGATTTCTGGGGATATTTCTGTAACAATTACTTTGGGAAGTTAAAACAATGACATTTTACAGATGTAGAAGAGCGTCGGTTCTGGAGGGTTGGGAGAACTATGGGCCACGCTTGGGACGGTTGAAAGCTAATATGTCATATACAATTATCTGCTTTTGTATATAAATGTAATTTTTTTCATTTCCTAGTTTCAGAGGTGGATGTTGGCCCTGCTGATGGGTGTCCCTGCCCTCTATATCTCCTCTATATTTGTCCATCAAATTTTACAGTGGCCACCAGAGCAAGCAGTGAGGGAAATATCTTTGCTTAGGAACACGGGTCAGTGCCACTTGCTTAAAAGGGGTTTTTTCTCTTATTGTATCTTCAGGACAGGATGTGAAGGGAATGCTAGCCATCAGGACACAGACAAATAATAAAACGGAGACAAGATTTGATCCTTTACTATATTCAAAAGTGACCCCCCTCCCCCCCCAAAAAAAGAATGGGGACTTTCGACATTCTTTAACAAGGCCCCTATGCAGAATGCATCAGCTTGCGGTCTATGGGTTGGGCATTTGATCACATGGCCCAAAATTAAAGGGTACTTCTGTAAATAGAAGGTAGTTAAAGGGACTGTCCCCTCTGCTCTCGGGGGCATTTTCTCAGTTCTATGCTGAGAATGCAAAAGGTCACCCTGTGTGAAGGTCGATCTTCTA